AGACAGCATGCACCTTCTCTTCCAGAGATGTTAGTCATCTGTTAGTCCAGAGAATTAGTCAAATTTCTCCGCATGCACCTTCTCTTCCAGAGATGTTAATTTTTTCCCAAATGAATTAGTCAAATTTCTCTTTACAGAATCTCACAAATTTCTGCCACATCTAATCTCACTAGGTCTTCCCAAATTATTTCTTTCTCCCTCCTGGTACTCACAGCAACTCCCTACACTGCTGTATCTTTTTGTTTCATTAATCTACCATCTGCCTCCTCTCGTGGAGCTCTGAAGAAGCAGGGGAGGATGGAAAGGCACATGCAGAACTTTGCTGCCACCCGACCCCTCTTCACAACTCGAGACACTGCTATTTATTACTAAACGTTGTTTATAGTTATGCAGACACTCTCCCACCCACATAGCAGTATTTCATTCAAGACAAGTTTGAATTCCCTTCAAGAACAACATTTCAAAGGATCCCAAAAGCATTTGTTTACAAACAGCACGCACGGAGAATTCGCTTCACCCACCAATGAAACACGGTCCCCTCCGAGACAGCAAGAGGCAGCTGTTTCATAGCGCCCAACGCGCCTCAACAGCTGAGGGACAGGAAACGAACAGCAGACAACTGATATCACGGGGGAAATTTATGGAAAATGAGGGCTGCAGAGCTCCCTTTGCCTGGAGAGACGGGGAAAGCTTTGGAACACTCCAGCCCTTCGCTGGGTCAGGAGGAATTTAGGGAGGCAACGCGTCCCAGAGTGTGGTCGAAGGAACAACTCCTAGTTTCAAGGCTGCTGTGAAAGCTGGCACCTCCAGCGCTGGCGGAGCCTGGGCACTGAGGTGAGCTGGCTGCAGAGGGGCGAGCACCCCCTGCGGAGCAGCCACACAGGCTCCCGTGGAGGCTGCGAACAGGCCCGGCCCTGTTCAACTTCCAGCACGAGCCAAGCTCACAGCCTAGGGAGGTATTTGGCTGCAGTTGGAAGACACTGGGAAGACTATAAAACTGAAGGCTTTCTGCAGGCCCAGCCTCCATACACAAGACCTACTGTAAACACTAAATCTTATGAGGGGAGAAAAAATCCAGAGGAAGAAGGATCATGCAACTCTTCCAAATACCGAAGTGCTGGGAATGGTGAAGGGTCACATGCTGTGGAAGCCAAGAGGAGCAACGTTCCCAGGATAGAACCAGAGCTCCTGAAAAGAGCTGGAGGAAACTCAGACGCAGGAAGACGACCCTGGGCAAAACCGAGCAGGGACAAAGGGTCCCACAGTAAATTCAGTTTACATGGCACTTGCTCCCCAGACAGACACAGACTTTACATGGGTGAAAGACAGCAGAGGCTCCATGAAGAATCAATCAATTTAATGCTCCAAACAAGGACCACAGAGCAGCACGTCACCACCAAGAGGCAACAAAAATAAGGGTGCTGACAGATACCTGCCCCCGAGGATGCAGGATACGAGCCACAACTGCTCCCCTCTTCCATACTGCCCCATCCCACTGGTCAAGCACAGGACATCCTACCCCATCCACATCCTCCTCCCAGAGACGGAGATGGGGACTGACCACCTCAAACAGCACACACAGGGGGTGGCCATTGCTTCCATCTCCAAGATGGGAGTGAGCCACCCTGCCAGACAAGCTGCTGTCCCGCACACAGAGTGGGGAAGAGGGTGGCACCCCGATGGGGGCACAGCCACGATGCTGCTCCCCAGGTGCCAGCCCCACAGAGGATGAAACGCAGGATGCCGCTACCTGCGACGAGCAAGAGGGACGGCTTCCCGCAGAGCATCCTCGGAGGGGGGATCGCTCCCCACATGCAGCAGGGAGGGACAGCCAGCCCCAGGGGAGGAGCACGAGGGGGAACCACCACCACCAGGGAGGAGACAACACAGGGGCAGCTGCCCCCAAGCGGGGTGCACACCCGGGCACGCACATGGCACCAGGACGGAGCCACACGGGGCGGCTGTCTGTGTGCAGGGGCTCCCTGCTACGCGGGGGCTGCTGGCTAGTCACGGTGACGTGCACGGGGGGCACCGGAGGGGCGGCCTCCCCTTCCCAGGCACGTGGAAGGGCAAACTAACCCCACACCCCAGCCTCCCTCGCGAGGAGAACGAGGAGCCACCGCACACACGACCCTCCGCTTCGCGGGGGGCACCAGGGGACCCCACAGCCGGGTCCCCAAGGGCCCCCATCTCACACGGGGACGCTCAGGCCGTCCCTGAGGTCCCCACCAGGCGGGGGGGCGCCAGGGAGCCCCGCAGGCGGCTCCGGAGCCGGGCCCCGAGGGTCC